TCCGTCATGTTTGACCGGAAGTGGCTTTCATTTTTAACAGAAATGAGAAATAACGTCCAAAAAAGGTTTGATTCCTCTAAATCCATGTTAATAATTGCAAAAATAAGCCATTTTCTGTTACTTCCGGTTTGACCGGAAGTGACGACGACGGACGGAAAATTAATTATAATGCTCCCAGAGACATATGTTACCAGAAAACTTGTCAAGAACGGCAAAAATACGCGTTTTCCAACTACTTCCGGTTTGTCCGGAAGTGACGACGCCGGACGTATTTTGACGACTTTAATAGATTAAGCTTGACATTTTGAACAATTTTGCTTCTTTGACGTATCACAAATTCTGAATACTTTTTGAGATATAAAGGAAAAACTTTTGGCCCCTCCAGGCCCCTGATTTAAGGGGCCAGCCCTTTTTTCGAGATGTCATTTGAAAGATCTTGAAATTCTACACCTTTTTTGTTCTACATGCTTTAACAAAATATTTCTAGTTAAAAAGTTATCGTTGAAAAAGTGCTGAAAATTTTGAAATTCTTGATAGGACTATTTTCGGGCCATAGCGAGCGTCGGCGCTTCGTACTTCCAGTAGTTGTGATATACTTAGTGCACTTCTCCAAAAGTTGCTCTAGCATCACTGAAAATTTCAAGCTTCTGTGTCAAGTGCTTTTTGAGAAAACTGCCGGACAAAGTGACCCTCTAAAAATCACTAAATCGCAGAAAACTCCGAACCGGAAGTGACGTCATCAAAATAAAAAAATATATATCTAGATTTTTTGATGTTCTATCAGACCTGAAAGTTTCATGAAAATCGATCGATCTGTTCTCGAGAAATCGCGCGTACAAAATCGGTAAGAAAAAAAAAACAATAATAATAAAAATAGTGGAAAAGAAACCTAAGAAAAACAATAAGGTCTTCCGCTGAAGACGGAAGACCTTAATAAAAGTGAAAAAGAAACCTAAGAATAACAAAAAGGTCTTCCGCTGAAGACGGAAGACCTTAACAAGAAGGTCTTCCGCTGAAGACGGAAGACCTTAATAATAATAAAAGTGAAAAAGAAACCTAAGAATAACAAGAAGGTCTTCCGCTGAAGACGGAAGACCTTAATAAGAAACCGAGTAAAAACAATATGTTCCCAAACTCCGTTTGGGGAACATAATAATGCAAGATGTATTTATTTTATCGAATATTCGAATATATTCGAATACTCCTATCGAATATTCGAATATCAATTATTGACAATTTTGACATCCCTAGATATTGATAATATGTACATGAAGTTTTCTTTTCTGGGCAATTCATTTATTTACACCAGTATGATACTTTTCTGAAATAAAGAAGGACAGAAATGGGAAGCGTCCTGTTTCACCATAAACCAAATAATTGGGGGTACCACTTTTCAAGTACAAATTATGTTTTAAAATTTTTTTAAAAATTTCAAAAATTTTAAATGAACACGTCCAATAATGTCTAGGGTTTCAAAACCCCAGATTTCAGAATCATGAAGCAACACTGGTAAAACCATTTTATCAAGTTGACATATGCATGCTACAGGGAGGTTGATATTGTTTTCTTTTTCTGACAACACCAAACCTTCCTTTTTTGGTTCGGTCTCAAAGATGTTTCTTGGCTTTTCGATTAGAAAGGAGTCAGATCTTGAAAAATGCGAAGTATTTAATCAAATTCAAAACTATATGGTAATGCTTAAAAGCCAGCAACTCATCCACAGTTATTTCCGCAGTTTAAAATTGGTCGAATACAAATAGAGTGCAACAAAAGATTTCACGAATTTTCATTTACAAAAATTAAATACATGTATCAAAGAATGACGATTTGAATAAGATTTTTTTCCTATTGTATTTCATCCTACATGTACAATTTATTGATGTGTAAATTACCTCTTCACATTCCGAGTAGACCATCAATTAATGTACATGTAGCTCATAATATGAGTCGGTAGACTGCTACGCTAGGTCTGTGATCAGAAGATCGTGTGTTTGGATCGCGACCGCGGCTGACATAAGTCGATTAAACAAATAAGTACCATTTGATTTTTTTTTTCAAACTTTATTAAACGAAGCCCCGTGTAGATTGTCATTATAAACAACCCTAACTTAACTGTTCGGAGGACCAAAAGCGAGTAAAAGCGTACGTTTTTAGTCTATGTTGGCATCTCTATACATGAATGAGTGGAAAAATTCTCGAACGAGACGTAAAACTACATTCAATCAATCAAGTGTCTGAGAGCTTAAAAATGATATTGTGTGAGGGTGTAGGTGTTTTATATATATCCCAAAAATGAAAAGAAACATAATATCACAATTTCCTGTAATAAATATGAAAATAAAAAAAAAAATAACAAGGGAACCGTATTAGTTCTATAGTTACACGGTTCCCTTGTTTAAGGTTATTCGAAAAAAAATCGTGGATATCTGTCATATCTTTCTTATTTGACGTCATATGTTAACTAAATTTGGTAGAGATATCTTAACGATAAATTCCTATGATTTGTATTAATTTTTCTTAAATATCAAAATTTATTTTAAACTTATCCAGATTTAAAAATTGAAGAAAAAACGGGTCTCAGAGCAGGTCAAAATTTAGCAAGGTACAAAAAATACACTAAATAATGACTGTATTTTTTTTTCTCTGTAAAATGGAGCAGAAAGGAAAAACAACATAGAAATTCAAATAAAGAATAGTTATATTATGGTTTATATTTTGCTTAGAAAAGTTATCAACTTTAGAAGATAATTAGTCCTCAATTAAACAGACAAAACAGATGCCATTTTAGAACTTCGCGGAGCAGCAAATAAAGATGCAGTTTTACTACGGAAAAATCCTGAATGAAATCTTAAAATGATGGAGGAATTATATATATAAAATATGTCACCGGAGAGTTGTGCATGTGTTGACGAATAGTATAGGGAGTATTTGAGTGACAGAGACTTTGTTTCGTATGAGGGCAATCTGTGAAGAAACCGTTTAACTGTAAATTTATAAAAAAAAAATCTTTTAAAACAACTTTTAAAAGTTGAATCGTCAAGGAAAACATATGCACTTTGAACAGAGTTGCTTATCCTGAGAAGGCAGAGTTAAGTAAAAAACAAATTAAATCCTTAGCAAAGGAAATGATACATCGGGAACAATTGTTAAAAAAAATAAAAATCAAGTATTAGAAAAAAGGTTTCTAATGAGTGGATATTAAATAATACTGTGTGAAATATATAGGGATAGTATTTTCAGAAATCCTTGTCGCTATTTGTTGACGTTTCATAGCCATTAAGTGTGCTCCGCGAGTACAAAACATGCTGATTTTAAATGAGGAAAATTAATATCTGTTAAATTGAATGGAATGAAACTTTACACATCCACATAACAAATATTTTCACATATTATATTGGGCTTATTTTAAATTTCGAGTGAGTAATGTAAGGAAGATTCACATTTTTTTTTCGAATAAATGTTTTCAGATCTATCTAACATAGATTTAAATTTGAAAAAAATGGTGTGAACATAATAACTTTTAAATATATTTAATATCCCCACTTCCTATTTTTTTCCTTGCTTTTACCGTGTTACAATTATATGAATCCATAAACTGTGAAAGTAATTAAAGCAATTATACAGCTTTATACATGTACTCAATTATACTAAGTCTCAATGTAAGATCAGATTATTTTCATTTTATTTTAGATATATGTTTTGTTCATCACAAAATACGTCAGTTATATCTTTGGTTAAAAATATCCAATAGATCTTCTGCATAGGTCTTCTGCTTAATTTTTCATTAAGCAGAAGAATAATTATTACTAGTAGCTTGCTTTGGGTCTGGATAATTGTACGATTCATATGCCACTTCATCCGTGCCCTCCTGGAACCTTTGAAAAGGAACATAACATCTTAATAAACCACTATGAAAATAAACTATGTCCTTTATTCAGTAATGTTTCCCCTGAAAGATAAAATAATATGTTTTAAGTTTAAAATTCAAATTATTAATTTCTTTGAAGTAGAATTAAAATTTGTAATCATTTTCAAGACACGCAATGTGTTTGGATTCTCAAAGGCTTAAAATGACGTAAAATGTTCCTTCGTTGTAAAATATGCTTATTTTGTTTTTGCGTTTTGAGCAAACATGGTTCATAATTAAACACAGCAGATTTAAAAACTTAACGTCAGCGTTTCATAGATAAGCACTTTAATTGTAATTGTAATTGTAATTTATTTATTGCTCAGGATAAACATCCTATGGCATATAACAAAATGTACAATAATATTTACATAGGAAATGAACGGTTGTACATATGATGGGAAAAAAGTCACAATGACACTGTATGACAGGGATCTTATAACTGTCCTTTACAGATTTACAAATGTAATAAATACAATATGCATGTAAAGTTTACATATATCATACATATAAATTATTGGCAGTTCCTTATTTCAAAAGCTTTTAAAATATATTTTCCAAGATTACAGAGTTCTTTGACATTATTAACACTAATAAGCTGTATAAATTTAAACATAGAGGGTTTACTCCAATAATATTTCTTAATGAATTTTTTTCTCAAGTCTACGTATTTAGGGCATATGAGTATAAAATGATATTCATCCTCTATATCTTTATGTGATTTACAAATTGGACAAAATCTTTGGTCTCTTGGGATATTTTTATGTCTACCAGTTTCAATTAATAGGTTGTGCGAGGACAAACGAATTTTAGAAATATATCTCTTTAACATTTTTGAAATAGGCTTCACCAAGTAGTACTGTAGACAGAAGTTACTAACCAAGTGTTTGTATATACTACACTTTGATTGTTTATCCATATCACATAATAAATTCTGTACAAAATTATCTTTCAATCTCTCTTGTATGACATGAAGACAAATTCGACTATCCAAATTTTTCTGTTCATTCCAGATATAATTAAGTCCTAAATTACACAGTTGTTTTTTGATAACACATGCCCAATTATTGCCCCTAAAATTTGGATTCTCACACTCACTATATAACATACCATAAGCCGCTTTCAAAATACAATTGCTTGTATGTAACAATTTAAACCAGTATTTAAACATTCTAGTAATACGTGAAATGTACATAGGCATACGGCCTGTTTCAAAATATAGCATCACAGTGTTTGTATTCTTTTTCACTCCTAGTACATTCCTTAAAAAATCTAAATGAATTTTTTCAATATCCGGACCCTTATGATGACCCCACACTTCACATCCATAATTCAAAATACTGCTTACATATGTGTCAAAAAGAGATAAAATTGTACAGTGGTTTAGATATAATTCACTGATGGATGCTTTAAGAGCAAACATAGCTTTGCGTCCCTGAGCGGCTAATTGCTTTTGGGTCACCAAGAATTTTCCGTTAAAATTTAAGAGTAACCCAAGATACACAAAATGATCCATCACCTCTATCTCTTTACCATTAAATGACCATGTTTCATTACAACCAATTTTCCCCCCGTTTCTAAATACAACAATTTTAGTTTTTTCGACATTAACTTCCAGATCCCATTCTGTACAATAATAAGATAAGGTATTTAACATATTCTGCAATTCATTAGCTGTCTCTGCACAAATTACCATATCATCAGCGTACATAAGTATGAAAACATGCAAAGTATATAGTTCTAAAGGGATATTACCTTCATTAATAAATACATTTTCCAGATCATTAACATAAAGTGTAAAGAGCATGGGAGACAACACTTCTCCCTGTAATAAACCAACAAGACTTTCAAAAATTTGTGAAATGTTGCCTGATGATTTTACACAGGTTCTTATATCACTGTACATAGATTGAATTATTTTAAGTAATTTCCCTTGTATTCCATAATGTTTAATTTTCATCCATAACTTACTTCTAACTACCGAATCAAATGCTTTTTTATAATCAACAAAACAGCAATATAATTTTTTCCGACTTTGCGTGTATTTAGTTATTAAACTATGTAAAGCAAAAATTGCATCAACCGCACTCAATTTTGGCTGAAATCCAAATTGTGCATCAGTAATAATGTCATTCGTTGCAGACCAGTCAATTAGTCTTTTATTAAGTATAGATGTAAACAATTTACAGAAGCAGCTCATCAAACTTATACCTCTGTAGTTATTTGGGTCACCTGGGTCACCTTTTTTAAATATTGGGACAATTACAGATTTTGACCATGATGAAGGAAAAATGCCCGAGGAGAAAATTCTATTAAATAAGTGATGCAAAACTGGTACGAGACTATCTGAGAATTCTTTGAAATATTCATTAAGTAGATTATCTAAACCATGCGATTTTCCTCGCTTGAGATGTGATATAGCTTTGCGTATCTCGTCTTCTGTAATTTCTTCGTCAAGTTCCTCAAAGATAACATGTGTTTGATCGGAACTATGCTCTCCTCTTTGTATGTTTGAGTCAGAAGTAGCAAGTGACTTGAAATGTTCAAAAAAAGTGTCGTTGGTAATATTTAATTGTTTTGGTTGCTTTTTCTTAAAATATTTATAAAAAGCTTTTGGGTTACTTTTACGGATATGATCTAGCATGTCACCCTCCATCCGCAAATATTGCCTTTTACATCGAGATTCCATAGTTTTATAACTTTTCTTAGCTTCGTGTAACATTTGATGATTTTCCTTATTTTTTACTTTGTTAAAAGTACGCAATGCTGACTGGTAAGAGAAATATCTAGTTTTAAGTTCCGATGTGAACCAAGGTTTATCAATGCCGGTTCCACGTGAGTAAACACAACTCTTAGCTTGACCGGTTCCACGTGAGTAATCACAAATATTTTGTCCGCCGGGTGTACCTCCTTATCGCGGACTTCAAAATAAGGGCTCATTATTTCAACTAAAGTTTCTGTGAAATGTTCAACAGTTTTGTCAATCGAAAAATTTTCAACAGAGTCTGATTGGCTGATATCTCCAATGCATGCATAAAGATTATCAAGATTTTCAATCAATGCTGCCTTCGCATCTGAACATCGCTCTTGATTCCAAACAAAACGGGGCAGGGTTTCAGTATCAATTTTCTGGCCGCTTAATTTATTTACCGACGGTGTATGAATACCCTTTTTTAACAATAGTCTTACATGTAATGGGGCATGGTCTGAATAAATAGTAAAATTCGACACTATAAACTGGTCAACAATTTTAAAAATATCTGGCGTAGTTATAAGATAGTCAATAACACTCAAACCCTTAGCCCCCGCAAAAGTAAAATCATTGTCTCTACCTAATTTGTGCCGACCATTCAAGATTCTCAAGCCACTAGCTTTACACAAAGACAGTAATTTTGTGCCTAAATCGTTTAGCGTTGGATCCGGATTATTTCTACAGGGAAGAACTTCATCAGATTGATAATAACAAATTTCATGAATCTCTCGCAAAATATCATCATGTAGAAAATCTTCAGCTATAAAATCATCATGAGTTGAAGTTCTAGCATTTGTGTCACCAAGAAGGATCACCTTACCCTTTTCTTTAAATATACTTATCTGATTTTCTAAATCTCTGATAAGATCACAATCATATAAATTGTAAAAATTGAAACATATATGTCGAACGCATAAGTATTCCTACTTGGATATAATAAAATAGATAAGGAATGTTTGATGATTGAATAGTTAAAGTAATTTCTTTCGTCGTGCAGATTAGTTTAGTTGTTATTTCATTTTCATTGATAGTAGGTAAAGTATCAGAATAACGAGAACTAGTGTTATAAAGTCTCGCACTTTTCCTATTTCATTTTTATTTTTAAAGAGAGGATTTGTTGAAGGATACGTTACTTATTACTCGAGTGGAACAGGATATTTTCATATTCAAACAAATGCTAACCATGATCTTTTTTTTAAATCCTGTCTCACGACTGAAATAAATGTAAATTCCAAAACCAATTACAAAATATAAAATTTTCTGCTTATTTTATTATATTTGTAAGACAATGTCTTAGGCTGTTTCGTTATAGTCTAACATTGGAACATTCTTCTGAGAGAATATCAGAATGATATACTTTTGCACTTAGACACAATATCACTTTATTTCAATTAATAAATCAAAGTCTAGAATATCATTCCTGAAAATGTAATGAATATCATGCACTTGTCTAGAATACTAGCAGTATGACGTTATCGTGTATCAATTAATGTACATTTACCAGTTTAAATACTTTTTTAGAATTTCTGCTTTGATGAAAATGATTAAACACTCTAAAACAACTTTCTTCAGAAAGTATATTGTTGCTTTCCTATTCTGTCTATCTGTCATTGTATCTCCTTTGTTAAATCCCACGTTTAACAAATTAACCAAAGCAACTCTGGAAAAAAAATAATTAAAGAATTGTTCTGTTGAATTTTTTTTTTTTGAAAGTCTCATTTATAACTCTTAATCTAGCTATATACGCGGTCAACAAATACTGTTTTGAGACTGTCCCTTAAATTTCATGCTGTAGCCAAATTTCAAAAGTGAAAGGAATCACGAAGACACAATGTATTTCACATAAAAATCATTTCAAGAGCACAAGCAGACATAGGCATACATTTATATGATCTTGTTTATTTACATATACTGAAATATTACAACTCTGAAATAACATATCCACCGATTCATTTGAGGGATATTTATATTTCATTTTTAGAAGAAATTAAAATACCTTTGCAGACTTTCATCTGTCGACCTTATGTTTATATTTTGTGCTTCGTGGTCTTCTACAAAATTAACATAAACTTTTTGTTACAATACAATAATTTGCTGCTTAACAGAGGTTCATTTTACTTCATACGTGTGGGGGATACAGCCCATTAGATAAACTTAAGCTTTTTCCACGATTAGATGATTAATCAATAGCACTTCCGGTTTTCACACGATCCCTCGCTTCAAGATTTTATTTTATCGAAACTTTTTTTTGTGAAAATTATTTACTTTATAAAATGAATGAAATTATTGAGCAATTATATCGTTAAAAGCAAGAAAAAGACCCGTATATGTCAAAGGAGTGTCTTATCTTATCAATGGAACCTGTATTGGCTACTTGAAGACATAAATTATGTTACATGTACCCCCCCCCCCTTTAAATCGTTTTTTCGGAGAAAGTAAAGCATAGCAGTTAAGTTGTTGTTATAGGATTCCTTTCACATCTTCCTGATATTACATTACGTACGCCTACCTAGTAATAAAGGTGTAACTTACCATGGATAAACAATGAATCTACAAGCAGCCTTGCCTAGCACGTTTTGTACTTTTGTACTGCCACGGCACAAAGAGTTAATTTTTTCAATGTAATTTCATGGTCCTTACATATTTCAATCAGAAGTTCGATTGATTTAAAGCTCCAGCAACTGTCACAAAATGATTTCAAAGATGCAGCTAGCAAAATTTATTTATTTTTTTTTTTAGAATTAACACTACCTACTTTCTTTCGAGGCATGTCAATATCAACGGTGCTACGTCATTAAGTTATAATTTCAATTTTAGTTTTGTGTGGTAGATGTACATTATAATATTTCAAAATACACTGTCATGTCTGTCAAATTTTACCCGGCAAGCTATTTCATAAGTGTTCTTATTCTATTTGTATAACACATTTCTTTTGGAAAATCAATAAAGTTGAAGCAGCTTTTTATATGTAATAGTCGAGGGTTTAGGAACATTTAAAAAAAACGGACGAAACCTTAAACATCTTGCGTTGCCACCTGTCATTGTTAGCATGCCAAACAGAACTAGACAGTGATTCCTTAAATTTATGCCCTGTTCACACGGAGAGTTTAATTCGAATTAAACGTAAAGTTACTGCAAATTAGCTTCGCTTAGCGTTCACATGGAGAATTTAATGTGAATTAGTTTAATTCAAATTAGTTTACTGCTCATTAAATTACTTCGCATTAGCTCCGTGTGAACGCTAAGCGAAGCTAATTCAAATTATAATCTGACACATGCGTAATGGCAAAATTTAGTCAAATACCACTTGTCGATGGTCAGCTATAGGTATTTGTGCTATTTTTGATTGAAAAACTATAGAATATTTTGTTATTATCATTACAATGTGTGTACAGACACTGTAACATTAGTCAAATGGATCTGCTTCTGCAAAAGGTGACGTGATTTGCAAGTAACGTCATAATAGCCGTGCTGACGCCGTGCTGCAGAAGTAAAACTTTAATTCGCATTAGTTTACTTCGCATTAGCTGTCGTGTGAACGCAATTCAATTTGCATTAGTATGATTCGCTTTAGTTTACTTTGCATTAATTTACTGCGAATTAAACTCTCCATGTGAACAGGGCATTATATGTATTTATGAAATAAAAAAGGATATGTGCCCTTAAAATTAAAAAAAAAATAATTTTTATTCTTTTAAAGGGAATATGAGAGCTGTAGTAGTTGTATATGAATTAATATTATATTGTATACGTATAAAAAATATTCTTTTAATTCTTCATGGTAAAATCACTAGTCCCTTTTATTTAGTTGTACACGGAATAAGAACTAATGTCTATTTCTGAGCAGGTATATATTTAATACAAAGTTTAGCATCGTCTAACTTTAAGCTTTTTCTTAAACGCTTCTTAGTACGATTTTTGCGTTTAGTTTCTGATTAAGATCAGACTAAGCTTATACACGACATGTCAATCGTAGGCTTTTTTTTAGAAATGGAGCCCCTTGATATAAATTTCTCGTTGGTTACAATATTAAAAAGTGTCAAAAAGTTATATATCTTTATGTACATGTATAGCCCCCAATCGCTTAATACATTTAGTATATCCTTACAAAGTGTTAAGGTTGTCTTCTTCATGTTTGGCTCAAGAACCCTATGAAACGAGTATATCTATCAAAAGTTAAATTTATTTGATCCTATAAATTTATTTCATTTTTCTTCCCAGTACTAATTTGATCATCATTTCTTTTTTATCTTTTTTAAGAATTATCTATGCATTTCAATACCAGACACCTACCATTTATATGCATCTTAATCATGTTTTAAACTGTCGTATTTTATCAAATATTTATTTTATTCGGCAATATTTACCCTCATAGGCATGTTGCAAATCAAGATTAGAGAATGATACTACGAAGGAGTATTTTTTGATAGTAATACTGTACCGTTTTCAAAGAGAGCAATTCATAATGAAAGCGTAATTCTATGTAGATAGATACAAGTCAGATGTCAAACAGATGTAAAAAAAAAAAAAAAAAATGGACACAAAAACTTAAATCACCTTCTCGGTGTTCCATACTTGCTTGTGTCTCGCTTGTGTGCCCGTCGGAATAAAGATCAAAATCATCTTTAAAAAATAGAAAAACAATATTTTATAAACATATATACACATTTTGACTATTTCATAGCAAATTTAATCATGAACTTCAAAATTATCTAAATCATAAAAATACCCGAATATGCACTTGATAGCTGCCTTTTCTTGGCAAGCCGAATTCTGTGATATCTGATAATCAAACACGAGACGAATATTGCAAAAAGTATTCCTACAAGTATCCCCATAACAATCTCTCTGTAAAGAGTTAGAAACTATGTTAAACACAAATACACAGAAAAGTGGACAAGATTACATATAATTTTTTCTTCATTTTTATATTCAATACAATATATTGCGTTCATAACAGTTTTACCAAGTTAACAAAATTACACATTACACATAACACCCCCAATGAAAAAATATGAGTAAGTCAATGCACGTAAATTCTGCAATATATTTCCACTAAAGGTGAATTGACATGCAACATTTTACATACCCAATTACCAAAGAATCCATTTTTCCAGAATGGCTTCCCATGGTGTTTGTAGCAAGTAGTTTATAACACCCCTGATCTGTAAAATGCATATTTATGTTACATAAAAACTTTTTTTCATATTTAGATACATAGAGTATTTTTCCTAATGAAATCTATTGGAAATCTACGACTTTCAAATCTCAATAACACACTCAAAACCTCGTCATTGCGCAGTTGAATCTACATTTATATAAATACTCTAAGAGCACCAAAATGTATATTGTTTTGACTCAATTTAACTCAAAACAATTACCCTGCCACATCATAGTAAAAATATAGCTACTGTTTATTAAAGATTATTTGTCATTTCCCCCTCGCAATGTTCATTTCGTAATTACTGTAAAACCACATATTTTCGTGGGGTAAAATTTTCGAGATTTGACGTAAAACAAATTGGTTAGTGGGGATTTGATTTCGTTGTTGCGCTTTAATTTTGGGTATTCAATTTGTCGATTCAGGTGTTTTATCGGACCGACGGCATCCAAAAAAAAAACGTCATTGCTTGATTAAGTCTTGATATATTATATAATAATTCAAGTTATATTCTCTATTTATATTGTATTTTTCTTTTTACAAAATCTTTTCTTTTTACACTTTTATTAATATAAAAGTATTAAGTATATGTCATAGACTGTAAGGTATAATCTATTACTCTGTGTTGAATATGACTTTTTAATGTGTTAATTTTATCCTACATATTTGATTTTATCAAGGTATAATTATTTTCAAAGTACAGTATTGTTTGGCAAAAGCAATGGTACATTTGTAGGCATCTGTTGACAGGTATCGTGTTGGACAGGGGTTGTCAAACTCTGTACAGTCTTTTGCATAATGATCTTGTATCAGCAAGCCTTCCTCATTAAACTCAGTACAATACCCTGTGTAAAACAATAATTAGAACATATATTATGTCAAGTAAGTGTCACTGAATAATTTTCGAGTATTTTTTTTTTATATTATTTTCATCGATGAAATATATGTTTGCACAGTGCGTATAACAATAATAAGGAAATATCTGACAGGTATAATAGACCAGTTGAAACGAAGCGTAAAAGACAAAATTGGAGGGGAAGTAATATTTTCATATGAAAATGTTTTAGTAATATTGTTCATTTCTTCTGTTGGTTTCGATATCCAAGTTATTTTTCTAAATTGTATATGTCTAAAATATAAAGTTTTATGTATGATGTAAATTGCATACACCACTGAGTATCTAAAGAGATATTATTCTAAAGTATAGTACAGACAACGTTAATTAAGGTAACCAAGAACGAGATAAAGGCTAGTAGATCAAACTATAAATTGATGTTGCAATGGGTATTTAATACTGTAAATGTATTACATTTAGAGGTGTATTCTATTTAGCGATTATGGCGGTAAACAGAGTCCGTTAATTCAAGTACATCGCTAACTGTCTTGTATATTAACTTTTATAACTTGCAAATTCAGACAGCGCTAAATCAAACCTACGCTAACTTGTTGAAAATTGAATTTCCGCCAAATATCGTACACGCCAAATGTAATACATTTACAGTAATGCATCAGTTAATCCTGCAGAGCTTAGTATTTTACTCTACATAAGGAAATAAAGAGAATAGAAAGATTTTATTTAAAAACTATCTATGGTTTCAATTGATGTACCTGCAATGTACCAGGTTGGTGCGCAAACATCTAGTGTCGCGTTTCCAAAGCTGTTGATTACACAATGATATTGGAGCTTTTCTTCCTTTGATGTACAGGTGTGCTTGATGTTTTCACACCCTTTCAATTTTGCTGCAGTTGTCCATTTTTCTCTAGTATCTGGGCATTGTTTGATATAATTAATCGTAGGAAGGGAGGCTAGACATTTCCTACCATAAACTTCAGGTATCTGAAATATAAAGCAATGTACACGTATAAAATATTGTTATCCATAACCAGAAATACTCAATTAAATACGATAATTCTTAACTACCATTATAGTCAACTATATCTGACTGAAAATAATATAGATAAAAGTTACCAATTTGACCAAGAAAACTAAGCTGAGATCACTTAGATACAAAATCATCGTTCTTCTGAATAAATACACAGCTATTCCCTCTCTGTAAATTAAATTATGATTATTAATGACTTTAACATAATAGATTTAAAACATGAATTGCAAAATAAATGTTTTTAACTCCTTTGCTATTTTCAAAGCCATTTAGCTTATATTCTAACTCTTTCGAATGTACGAGGGTTGTCCTTTAGTTTGTGAACAATGACGTTTTTCTCAAAGTTAATGATCCCAGATATACTTATTGAATACATAGTTTTTATAAAAATCAAAATCACGATATTTTTTTGTAGTTTGAACTTAATACACGGCTATAGTCATTAAATATCGCAGATTGTGCATAAAGTCATTCGGTTCCCCAAACCTATATCCGCCTATCCGGAAAAGTATACAATTCATAAATGCATTTGGGTCTCCAATTTATCAGTATATGAGGATCAGTACTTTGAGGGGCAGAGACGAATAAAGAAATCAAAGATTAACAAATGTGGTCAAAAACGGCAAAGTGTGATTATTTTTGGAACATCCTATGTTATGAAAATTCAAAAGCCATATCTATGCTTTACCACAAAACTACATTCACGACATACCAGCCGTGTGTTGCATGAAAATTATATTTACACCTATAACTTTCGTGAAATAAAGTGTGCATTGCTTCAGATTTATACATTTACTAATTCATATTCTTTATCGAAATAGTACCGTACACATTTGGCAGGGTAGACATAACCCCGAAAATGGTAGCATGTCTACAAACTTCATGAACATCCCATGTGTATCGTGTAAAGTTAATGTAAATAACTCCACATTTAATTCAAAAAGAATATATACAATTCTATCAACTTTATTTAAATGTTGCTTCAATAAGGAAAATTTAATATAATTATTCTATTTAAACATAGGGGTTAACACTTCGTAAGTTTACCTTTAAAAATAAGAGATCTAAAAAAAATGACGTGGATTTAATCAATGTAGCTGCAAGAGACCAAAAAAAACATGATATTGCATACATTATATAACATGGTCATATCCCAATCCTATATGTTCAATAATTTACTAAACTGTTTAAAATGTTATTATTTCTAATCATACCTTCTTTTAAACTCCAAGTTTGTCATTCAAGTGTACCGACGAGTAAATGAGACTTTAAAAGAGATTTATGATTTATATTTAAATTTTATTAGGTAAACATTTGACCATTGTGATACCTTTTACACGGAAATTATGTATGTAACAAAAACATGTTTACATTAAATGAAATATTTCAAATTTGATAATTTGAAGAACACAAAGTTTTCTTGGTTTATGTTTTGTGAATACGCATGTATTTTCTAGTGTTTTCTATCATGATTGCCCTGTCAAACTGTCATAATAAGACCTGTGCTAAATTGAAAACCAAACGATTTTGATCATATCGGTTCATGCCATCTAGGTATAATAGAAATTGCGTATTCTTAAAGCTACAAACAAATAACACTTTTCAAAATATATTAACATTTTATTGGAAAAATTAGTTTCTTCGTAAGCGGAAACAAAATACCTGCGCAATAAATTGTAATTTATTTCCCTTTTCCCACTCCAAATCGTTATTACACCTTTTTAACCAGATTTTTTTTTCAAATGACCCTTCCAAACTTGTATATACAGCTAGATGGCGGACAGAGCAAAGACTATATATAACAGCCGAATTTTCGTTTACGGGAACATAAATACTAGCATACGACATCTTTATTTTCCGTCTTCCTATTTATTCTATATGTCAGAAGTACATTTCTTTAAAAATTTAAAATATATGAGCCCATTCATATATAAAAAAAGAATACTTTGAATCGATGGCTGAATATTTAACCTGTTCGATCACAGTGTCTAAGTTAGCACAAAAAATGCTACGTTGAAGTCACGTGACGAAATATTATAAAGTCAGTAAAAAAAGTGGGCGTCCTCATTATTGTATGGAAATTATCCGAAATGTGATTACCCCCGCCTTAGAAAACAGTTTCGTACGTCGTAAATACACACTTTTATGTAATAGGTAGAGTTGTAGATCATATACTGATCATTACTGTAATTAAAAGAAAAATGTCTGCTTTCAAAGTTTATTTTGACGCAAACGACTCTTATCCTTAATGCAGTTACTCTTTTTTTCATATGTAATTTTAGACTATTTTCTATCCTAGTTAATTGTAATTTATCACGAAAAAGATCATATCTGCTAGTGAACGGAAATAAGCCAATGATGATCGTCCACTATATACACGTACCGGTAATTAGATATTTCATAATTATGACTTTAATGAAAACTAGATATTGTCAGGATTTATGTCGACGATCCAGTGGTGCGCATCGCATACATAATAAATCAGCCATCATACATTGTACAACTGAGCTAACAAAAGTCTTTGGAACAGTCCTTTAAGAGGTTTAATCTCATGCATCTTTCAAGAATCACGGATATTGCTTCGATCGTAATATTGTCGGTATCTCTTTTGTGTATAAAGAATGTGGTAGATGGATGTAGTGGGTATGTACTATTCATGTTTATCATATTTTCAAGATTTAATACTAAAACATTTTATGTGAAAAAGTGATATTATGTCACAATGTGAAAGGATATAAAACTGATATTATATCACAGTGTGACAGAACCTGAAATTACCCCTCACTTAATTTTATTGTTGTAAAAAATACATCCTTGTCTGATAAGAGATACAGATAGCAAATAAACAATCCTGACAGAGATTCAACGTACCAATTTTTCTCACATGTAGTTAAAACCAATATTAACAATATTTTCTGTCTAAATAAAAGAAAATGTAATAAATGTGAGACAGAATTGTTAAAGGTTGTTTCAAATGTGCTTCGCATGTAAAATGAAATTTAAAATCCTGTCCCACACATGAAAAAAGGTCCACATCAAACCACAAGATACTGAATATCTTCTTTTTAAAATTTGAAGAGTGTGATAATATAAAATTATAAATACAAAACAAAAGAATGAACTTTCCCTTGCAGATTACAGAAGTGTTGTGCTGGTTTTCGTTGGAGTGAAAAGGAAAAACAATGCATCAGTGGGTATTTAAACAATAGTTATTTTTTGTATATATGTAACTATTTCCTTGTCTCACTATTTTTCAATTTAAAAGACTTAAAAAATTGTTTGAATCCCAGAATGTCCGACTGGTCGTCAAGGGATAGATTGTTCATCTAATTGTCGATATCCAAATTTCGGGGACGGTTGTCAAGAATTATGCGTTTGTGATGAAATATTTTGTAATGCAGAGACAGGCTGCACTATTCCTACTAGTAAGTAAGATAAATAAAATTAGAGAACATGCTATCATGGATATCATGGATAAGTTTTCGAATCATGCAGTGTTAAATGTTGCATTATATATATATATATATATATATATATATATATATATATATATATATATATATATATATATATATATATATATATATATATATATATATATAATTTTATATATATTTAAAGATTAGTCTATTAGTCTATCTACATCCTACATCTCTTTTAACAGCTGATGCCGTAAGCATTGGAAATACCTCACAAAACATCACAGAAAATGAAAAGAGAACCTATTTCTTTTCTGCGTGTCTTGCAGTTTCGTTATTTGCTCTCCTTATAGTTTTCCTACACTCTGCATTTAAAATCTCCAGAAAAATAAAGCATCGGGTAATTGAGCAGCGGGAAAGTATAGTTGAACGGGAAACCAAAAGAAATCAGGAATTTTCCGAAGTAAATCAGATCCATATAGACTATTTATCGTTGAGAGAATTGTCTGCGGGGATTACTAATCCCTCAATTGCAGACACATTCACAACTGATGGATCGGAATTTACTTACATCGATGTGAATACTAAAAAAGATAACTTTTACCAAAATAACGTTTTCAATCATCTAGAGCGCAATGATACCGATGAACCCAACTAAATTATTTCTACAACAAATGGTTTTTGACTTTTTCTTCAGAGCCTGACGTATTTGCAGAAGACTTAAGAAGCTAAACCAAAATCCCATCAAGATATATATGAAAATTAAACATAGAAATTATTTTTTGTGGCTTATACCCTTTCATCTACGATTAGTTAAGAAATAATGTCTGCGTTGTCGTGAATGTTACAGGATAACCTCCGAGGTCGAAAAATGTTGTCAAAAATATAAAAGTAAGGCGTTATCAAACAATTTTTTTGAGACGTAGGAGGTTTTCGTGAATCATTCACGACAACAAGGTCTTCATGATTAACATACTAAAGCTCTAAAACGGCTGATCGTTTCCTCTTTATCTAAACTCGCTGTTCCATTCAATACCAGAGGGTCAATTTGTTTGTCTATTTGTGTACGACCTTCATCATTGACGATTTCATCTCCCGTTAGATTAAAAAAAATATCTTATGATTATTTACAAATTTGTTTACAACTGCTTTTTAAATAAAAATGGAACTCGTAAATTTCTTTACCTCATCATTAGGCATTTGCGAAGTCATTTTGTTAAAACACATTCTGACTGTATGTCAACTGGCAAAATACACGAAAAACACGAGGTTTTATATTCTTACTACATGTATTTATGCATATTTATAAAGTTTAATACCGAAAGTTTTTGTTCATGTAGACATTTGGTAGGTTCAAATCTTCGGGTGCTACTATGTTATATCCAAACATTCATGCATTTGTATTTATTCTATAATTCAAACTTTTCTGAATAAATCATAAAAGAATGAAATTTACATTGACAGTGTTTAGATAAAAGGAATGGAATATCACAAAGAACTATGTTATATCAAATTTGATCTAAATAGACAAAATCATATCATAAATTAAAATCAATTTTAATATTTCATTATACAAAAGAGTATACATGATGACGTAGAGGAAATTTGGACGAAATTCTAGTTTGTCTATATCGAAACAATATTGTTTTATTTCTCGCCAAACATTCATATTAAGTTTAGACGTAACGGTATGTGTCTTAAGCACCATTTTGAAAATGATATACAATTATGGACTGTTTGGTGTTGAATATGATTTGATATTCACCAGAAAAATATCAATACTGACCGAGGCGAACCATGAGAGTGCATAACTGTGTTATTATATAGTCTGGTTTTGAATAAATAAGACACTGAACGCTGCATGACGACACCTTTTCATTACGAACTTCCATCGTTGAAAATTTAAAAAAACATGCCCAAATTTACAGTTTGTAACCTCCGTGTTTTCCTTTCCGAGATTCGCTACGTGTAAGACATCCAATTGTTTAGAAATAATCCTGTGATAGGTTTGTCTTATATTTTTCCTGTTCAGATACAGAGCTGGCTGTGGCCGTTGCAACCACCGTATACAACGTTATTTGAGGTATTGATTGTGATGTCACAATGCCGCTGCACGCGCAATGACCCTTCGGTGAATACGGCCTAAAATCCAGTGAATATGTAGTGATATGAACTGTTTGCTTTTGCATAGATTATATAGGGACTATAAATATGCTATATAATAACATGACTTAAAGCTCATATTTTTGACATACAACTAAAAGAAGAAGGTATGGTTTCCATACAAATTTTGCCCTGTGAATTTCTAAAAAATGAAACTGGTGTAAAAGTTGAAAACTCATGCTTTTTAAATAATTGAAATTTAATGCAGAAAAGTCATACAAGTCATTTTTCTCACATGTGTTTTTAAATGCTAATTATGACGTCATAAACAAGTGTATTTTCCCGTATTTTCTTAAAAAGTTGCAGAAGACACCAATTTTCAATGGAATTTTCTTTCAGATAATATTGTCCACAGGCATCGCCCACAAAGATCTTGAGATATGTGATTTGTTATTGAATTTTGCATGAAATATTAAAAAATTAACGTGGGCGACGGCTGTGGACACTGTTTTCTAAAGGAAAATCACCCTTGAAATGTGCCATTTTGAGACTTTTTCTGTTGAAAATAGAAAAATGCTTCACATTAATGAAGTCATATTTGCAGAGTGGTAAACTGTCATGCCATGTTCTTTCCTGATTTATCAGAGTCATTTATTTAACTAATATTTAAGCCAGTTTCAAAACTTTTTGATGTCATTACATTTTTAGGGCGCAATAAAGCTAAAACCATACCTTCTTCTTTCAAATTTATGAACGAAAACAATGCTAGATAACATATATCAATACTTTGATCAATAACCTCATTTTTCTTATACCAACAGAATATGAGCATCCAAAAAAATGAGGCTAAAGTTTTTTAGAATTCTAATTATTTAGATTTTTATAGCATTAAATTTAAAATTGATTAAAATGGGGAAATTGACAGAGAAGATTCAGATTGGAAAATAAACCACGTTATTGTTCAAATTCATATATATGCCAAACGAAAAAATACTAATAGAAATCAATCGGAGTATTCAGTTTACTGCTACAGGTAGCTGACGATCAAATGACCGTCAAATTGCCATTAGTTGAATTTTCGCCATGCAAACGAGGGAGCTTTCAGCTCATTTGCATAGAGTGGTCTTCTTTACAGTTAATTATTAGTTGAATGCTCCTCTATTTTCTTCGTAGTTGACTATGAGACGTATGCTCCTCTATTTTCTTTGCAGTTGACTTCTAAGTTCATTACAGTTGACCGTTAGTTCAATACTCCTCTATTTTTATTATTTTTTTTAGCAGTTTACCATCAATTGAATGCTCTTCTATTTCCTTTGAAGCTGACCACTATTGAACGCTCAACTATTTTCAGTTGACCGTGTTGAATATCCCATTACTCATTGCACGTACGTTGCATGAATTTAAAAAATCAAGGGAGATTTGAAACCTAAGGCAAGCACGTGCTCTTCAAATTTAAACTGCCATGTCTCTGAGTATGAAAAGTCAAAACAATGGATTGTCTAAAATGGCATAATCAAGGGTCATAAGCATGAAGAGTAGGTCATTGACCTAGTCTAGTAAAATACATGTACATAGTTATTCATTCGTATAAATGGAATCGTTTTTTTATGACGACATCTTTAATTTCTTCTTTTTTTTTTTGAGTTCTCAAATAAAGACAAGAAAGGGTCCTGCAAATAAGGTTTGAATTATTCTGTTTTAAAGATTTGTTGTACTATATTGCAGTTTTTTTAAATTGTTAAAGATGTTGGTCCTTTTTTTAATTACAAAGTCCTTCTTAATATTTCCTCTTCTTCGAGTTAAATAGATATATTATGTCTTAAATAAAAACACATGCGGGACGTTTACTTTAAATTTCCTCATCTCACATATTTTGAAAGCATAATGGAAAAAAATATTCCCCGAGAATTAAATAAGGAAGTACAAGGAAATACATCTACGGAAATTCCACAACAGTCAATTTCCGTGTATTTGTGCACGAGAGGGGGTGTCCTATTATTTGTGATAGTTTGTAGAGTGCAATTAACGCTAAAGTATTTATCCCCGATAAAATTTCATGTCTCTATGTATAGATGGTTTTCCATTGAGCTAATTTAAGCAAGAGTTATTCCCCATGGCCGCCATGTTGTAGGGCAACTCTCCCAGTTTCCTTCATCATTCAACCAAGTTCAATTAGTTATACTGAATACTGAGATAAAGCTAACTCTATTTTTCTTACGGAAATGCGTTTTTATAGCCTGTATTGATTCATTAATATGAGACTTTTAATATTTGCCCCTTTATTTCTGGCATGCATGTTTACAATTGGTCGCTCAAAGAGGAAAATTCATTGTTTTGCCCTACAAGATGGCGGCTAAAGGGAATAATTCCTAGGCAAAATTTGTCAATATATAATTTAATTTTGTTTGTATTCTTGCCTCTCATTGGTTGATTTCCAAAAAGGAGACAGCATAAAACTTGTATAACCTGGTTTGGTATGGGGACACCTCCCTTGACAACCAGCTGAATCATCTGTATCCATCAATCCCCTCATTTCCAGTCCTTGGGATTCATGGAAAATTCCAGATTTAATGAATGTACCTTCAGCTTCAAACAGTAGCTCGATCTTACCTCGTGTAAACAAGCATCATGGCTGCTAGATCTATGTATCAGTTTTTACCTCCCCTCGCTTCCCATCACTTCCGTTACTACGGTTGTATTATTGCGCGGTAAATTTGAACTCATAAAACAACACATTTTACACCCCCAGTTGTTTAATTATTTTAAAATTAAATTATAAGGAATGACTCTAATTCTTGGCCAAATTATCGAGTATAATATGGTTTGGGTCAGTTTAAGCTTCTTTATAATCCGCTTCGCGGATTATAAAGCGTAAACTGACCCAAACCATATTATACTCGATAATTTTGCCAAGAATTAGAGTTATTCCTTAAATGTATATGTGGCGGAATGTGAGAGAAACATTGCAACAAGTTCCCCTTCTCTAAAATGGCACCCAGTTACATATTGATATAATGATATACGAAAATTGTAAATTTTGAATTTTAAATGTCAATAATTTACCAACCAATTTTTAAGCATAAAGATCTCATTGTTTTCATCTGGAAAAACTGGCTTTTGAAGAAAAGGCAAAAGAATTGAGATTTTTTAAAACTTATAGAGAATCTGCCTGCTGCTCTACTTCTCAAGCCCGTGTCCTTTAAGAATTAAACAAAAGAACAATAAAACATATGATATTGATAATTGGATATGGTGTCTATAAACTCTCTGTACTATTTGGATATTAATAAAATGGATCATTTATTAATCAGTATTAAATCAGGTGGACGAAAATGTAATTTTGACTAACCTTTGTATCCTCTGGATATGTTTTAAAGTGGTGTCATAAGCATATATTTTATGAGAAGCACTAATAACAGCACGAGGCATTTTATAAAATAGTGATTAATAAAATATTTTTTTTAATATCTTAAATTATAATGGTAGGTGACATCTTTGAAAGAAGTTAGTAAATGTCAATCATAAAAGCAATTTTTAGAGACCATTGTGTAAAATTGCTGCCATGGCCGCCTGATTCTGCGATGGCCCAATGTCCAGTTGTTTTTTATTTTGTAAATGTCTACCGTTGTGCCAAGCATGGTGCTTTTATCACAAAATGTACAATAGGTACAATAGGTTTCTTATTGTACGTCGTACTTATGGAGATATCTGTGTGATAAAGATGAAGAAGAACGTAATATACTAGTATATATAATTATATATATATATCAACATGATCTGGATATAGGTTTAAAAATACATATAGTTTACCGCTACCGGGAAAACAGTTATGCGGGTTTGTTTGGAATCTTTTAAACAATCCTGCGTTAGTTAATTTCAATGTATATTTATACAGTGTACAACAAAACAATTAATAGAAACACAATAGTGGATTTTGTGGTGTTTTTAACGTCCCTCTAAAGATTTTTTCACTTATATGGAGACCAACCATTTGAAGGTGAAGGCCTACATATCTGTGACAATATTCCAGACTCAGGGCCTTTTGAGCTGTGAGGGCTCTTTCTCGATTCAACACCTACTGCAACAGGGACCCTCTGCTTATATGGTCTCGTCCGTAATACCGGTCTCCAGGTCCCACGACGTAAGGATTGATTTCTTAGTCAACGACACAGTATTGTCTTTTTAACAGATGGAGACAGAGAAACTATATTGGATACTGAAATTCAAACAGTTGTAATTAAGATAAATAACAAATACATGTTTCGTCTTTGTGCATATGTTTTATTGGAATCTTAGTTGGTGTTCATTAGTGACAATTCAGTTGCAGCAGGTGGATGATTTGCTTTCTTTTCTAAAATCATAAATTAAAATAAATATTAAGCTTTCCCTTTTTAAGGTAGACATATCGGTAATTGAAACATATCTTGGAGAGTTGACAATTTACTTTTTAGGTTTAAGATATAATATCATTATGATATTCCATTCTCAAAAATTGTAATGTAAAGAGATACATCTGGAACTTAAGTACCTTTCTTCCATGGAAGCTGAAATATATTTTTTAACTTCTCCCATATTACTGTTAATATGATTCCAGCAATTAATACTAAGGATATTGTAACTAGCAGACCGATCCTGAAAGTAGAGTATTACAATACCTTTTCATCTTATAATATTTTCTTTTAATTAAAAAGTAGACAAAAAAGAGATATGTTTCTAAAATTATAATTACTAGCACCTGGTAAGGCCTGATTTCTGCAAAGTAAGTTCTGGTGGATTGGAAAGAGGATGAGGTGTATAACATTGATGATCTGTAAAACAAAAATGATATCATTGTAAACAATTTGCATTCCTAACCTAGTAATGTAAAATATGTCAAGCTGGATATAGCAAATGCATGCAGTTTTCAGGATAATTTTTTATTAACTTCATACCATATGTAAACGATAATTAAATATAGTCTAAAATCTGTTTATTGATATGAATGATTCTTCTTGCTCTCAAATTCAGTGCAAAATATGAAAGCTATAAACTGTATTTCTTTAACAAATATGAAGATATATATACTTATAATCAAAATGATACAAACAATACATAAGCTAATTTTGATATCTTTAAATTTATTTACACGCTAATCAATATATTATATGGACTGAATATTTATAATGCTGACAGATTATATCAGCTCAATAGAATAGAATTAAAATTATTTTGAATTCCCTTAAGGTAATCTACAAAAACATGCATATAAGTCGAAAAATGTGAATTACACGTACATTTATATCCATCAGTAGAAAGGTAGCGTGAGGGGCAAGGTTCTGCATACTTTGTACAGTCTTTGCTGTAATGGTCCTGTATGACTTTTCCCTCCGTATTATACTCAGTGCAGAAGCCTTGAAATAAAATAAAATCTTAAAGGCAAATTGTGAAAATCACCCAAAAAGAGTTTTAAAGGTAGGATGAAAAGAAATATCAAATGGGTGATAAATTAAGGATTCTCACTATCTTGCATAGGTCTATTAGTTAATTTACATTTTTTCTTTAATTGGAATGACAAATACTTTCAAAAATATATTGAATTTGTCATGCTTTGTATTATTTTTAAAGTACGTCATGTACTGTCCCAGTAAGACGTTGCACGTGTCTCTAATTTAAAGAGTTCAGTGAATTAAATCAAATGTAGGTACAAAATGGTAAAAAAAAAAGTAACCTGTTATGAATAACACTGGTGCACAAACTTCTAAAGAAGCGTTTCCATAGCTGTTCAGAACACAGTGGTATTTAAATTTATCAGGTGAAATGCAGTCTTGGCCTATATACTGGCAACTTTTAGCTTCTGACCTTTTCTTGTAGTCCTGATAGGTGGAAGGACATGACGTCACAAATTGCACTGTCGCAGAAGACACAGAACACGATCGTGGGTTATTGGCGTATACAACAATCTGGAAATAGATCACATTACACTTTTGCAATGATTATAGAATATGTAACTTTGCTTATATAAATACGGGGGGTGGGGGGTTGTTAGCTACGGACTTAAATTAGTCTTCAGGCATGTTATTATTGACGTCTGCAAATAAATATGTCTTGGACACTGTTGGATATATGTAGGTGGTCATGAAAGACGAAAAAATATTATTTGAAAGGAATGAAGTTTACGTCAACTTTTGTATAGGATATATCATAACTTTTGAGAGTTTACGCTTTCTTATAAACCGCTGCGTAGTTAATAAAGCGTTAACTGTCCCAAGTTGAAATAAGATTAATTCTTTATAAGTTAATTTCAGTGTAAACAATCAGACAATTTTTCCTCCGGAAAAGGCTTCAAATTAAGATAATTTTTAGAAGTAACGTCAAGCGGAGAAATACGTTTTTGACGTAACGCATTGTGACGTTGGCAAGTTGTGTTATAGGAAAAGAATTAATTCTTTCACCCAATTAAAGGACGTGTTACAATTATAATTAGATTATTGATATATTTATCGACATCTTAGTTAGCAAAAAAAAAATAAATAATGAAGAGAACTGTTGTACGGTGGATATTATCTTGCATATCAATTAGGCAAAGCGTTGTCTGCATTCAAGAATCTACCAGGCTAAATACCTTCCTTTGTTAATTTATTAACGTGCCAAATAAATTATCCTGGGCCAGCATATGTAGCCGCTACAAACAGTTCAGTTTTGATACACTGTTTTTTGTCTTGCCTTTAATAAAAAGAGAACCCGTAAACTTCATTAATGGAGAAATATGCTCTATATCACCATTTTGTGCTGCCTGCCGACTAAGTGTCGTAAATATACTCCCTCTACTTTACATACTAACCACATATAAAGTCAATACACCACATCACTGCTATACATGTACATATTCAGTACGTAGTTTTCATTTGAGCACGCAATGAGCCTAATAAATGACGTCACAGTTTGGTTAACCCCAGAGAAAGTGAACTTTATCAAATTTTCTTCGACAAGATGAATTCCGTTTGTAGAAAACTATAGGGATAATACGGAAATTTAAAGGGTCCTAGAAAAAAATATATATTACGTTTGTTTACGCTTCGACCAATATACCGGTTTTAAGACCCCAAATATTTCCGTATCACCCGTCAAAATCTTCATCAATAATTACATTTAGCGTATCGTATAGGATTAATGCTAATTAACACACAGATACATTTTAAGAACATATAATATTATGATCAAAGAAGCAAACATGTTTTTGACGAATATAAAAATTTTAATACGGTTTAACACATTTCCTCTTTTCTGACTTAATTAATCACAGGCTAGGATATCTTGAAGAAAGATAAATCAACTTTTATTTACACTTATATCAAAAATTCAAATTTGCATAAATTTGGCATGTAAATCGAAAATATCAAAAGATGAAATTCATACATTTTTTTCAAATTCCTATATTAATAAATAAGAACCTACCTTTCTTAAATGCATAAACAAAAAAATTAATAATATCCCATGCTCCATCACAGTATCTTGTTTATTTTTCAGATCTATGACACACGGTTAAAAAAGGAAAAAGACCAGGTAACATTAGAGAAAAACTTTCCTGAATGGAGTGTGTTTATTTATAGACGGAATATTGGAATTTTTTTTTATTCTAATAATATATTATATTTATTTTATTTTTATGCATTTAATTTAATGTTTTATTCACCTAAATACTCACTTACTGCCATTGACTCATATATACGTTTGAATAGCGCGTCTGGGATAAGATAGAACGACAACTCTACAACGGAGATTGCTATTATGATACAGTCACTAGTACTGTATTTTACTAGTTATGAATAAGAAACAGATTCTGCGGTGCCATAAATAAACGTTTGTCAAGGTAGTTCAATGACTTGAGGAATTATGAGGTGGGATCAGGTGCCTAGGATGAGTTAGGATCCCCTGTTGTCTGGTCTCTCCTGACTTGAACCCTATGTTATGATCATGTAGACAAAATTTTCTTTAGTCAATCGAGTAAGGAAATCTTAGGCTTAACAACTGGTATAAAACAGATCAGCTTAAAACCGTCACAAGGATAGCTTATTTATTTGCCAACAGGTCATTTAAATTTAAGGACCATAAAATTTACGAAATGCAGAAATAATACGAGATTATAGGATTATTGAATGTTCTATAATTGTACCATACCAGTGAGTAGTCTGACTCGCTTTAAATATTTATCGTACTCAGAGCAAGTTCTTCAGTAGTAAGTAAGGAGACATACACATTAACATTAGTGACGGAATATATTGCTACCTGTACATAAATTAACTAGTGCTAATTGTAACGGGGACCGTTACAGATGTTCCCCAAACGCTCCCCAACTCCCTTTTGGTGCCATATTCCATGTAAGCTTCATTAAATAAGACAAACTCTGTGCATTTTTTACTTTAACAATGTTTTCCCAGAAGGATACCAGTTATATTCAAATTTTAGCATCGCACCCGTGCGCATGTGAATGCATGTCCATATCATCTTGTCTACACTATCTATTTATTTTATATACTATGTATTAAAGGATCCAGTCCAAAAATAATAAAAATCACTCATTCAAGTGTATTTTTAATTTCACTCGTTCCAACTGCACGCACGTGCGTGCACGTGCATGATGACCATAACGTCTTGTAGAAGTCCCTTATGTCTATCTATGTTCTAAATCCCATCCTGTTTGCTTGAAAAACAAGGGAGTTATAGCCATTTCAAGTTTCAGCCAATCAGATTGCAGCACACGTGCATGCGCGTGATTTCATAGATTTTTTCTATATCATATTGTAGGATATCCTAATGCATGACTATGTTTTAAATTTCAAAGAATTTCGTCAAAAAACAAAGGAGATATAGCCATTTAAAGTTTCAGCCAATCAGATTGCAGCACGCGCGATGCGCATGTTTTTTTGAAAATTCTTATATATCATGCTGTAGATCTTCATAGTGTAGGACTATGTTCAAAATTTCAAAGGATTATGACGAGAAACAAGAAAGATATTGAGACTTTAGTTTCAGCCAATCAGAACGAAGCGCACGTGCATGCGCGTGAGATCTTGCTATTTTGACCATGCCATCTTGTCTATACTACTAATGTATTCTTACATTATGAGTTTCAAAAAATTTCATCAAAAAATAGACACGTTACGGCAATATCCATTATATTGGTCATTTCACGTGTTGCACGTGCGCGCTCTTGCAAGCACGTGCGCGCAAAATGACCTTCGTTCGGCAAGTCTACATAACATGCCTACTGACCCTAAAAAGGTTTCACCTAAATCGGATGTGTAGTTTACAAGATCACTCGTGGACAAAATTTTCCCAGGAAGAAGAAAAATAATAATAACTAGAGCCGAGCTCGTTACAAAGCAACGAGTGGGTCTTCCGTCCTGTTTGACCGGAAGTAACTTTAATTTTAAAAAAATGAGTAATGAAGTCCAAAAATGGTTTAATCCTCCAAATCTTTGTTAATTATTGCAAAATTAAGTCATTTTTTGCTACTTCCGGTGTGACCGGAAGTGACGACGACGGACGGAAAATCAAATTTTATGCTCCCAGTGACAGATGTTACCCAAAAACTTGTCAAGAAAGGCAAAAATATGCATTTTTGACTACTTCCGGTTTGACCGGAAGTGACGTCGCCGGACGTATTTTGACGACGCCAGTGGATTAAGCTTGACATTTTAAATAACTTTGCTTCTTTGATGTATTACAAATTCTCAATACTTTTTGAGATATAAAAGAAAATCTTTCGGCCCCTCTAGGCCCTTAATTTTAGGGGCCAGCCCTTTTTTCGAGATATCATTTGAAAGATCTTTGGATTCTACAATTCTTTTGTTCTATATGTTTTAACAAAATATTTCCCGGTAAAAAGATATCGATGAAAAGATGTCAAAAATTTTGAAATTCGCAATAGGACTTTTTTCGGGCCATAGCGAGCGCCGACGTGCGGCACTTCCGCTAAAAATGAAATATATTCCGCAAATCTACAGACATAGATCTACCATACCTGAAAGTATCATGTGTCTATCAAAAGCCGTTTAGGAGAAATCGTGCGGGCAAAACGACCCTCAAAAAACCATTAAAGTGCTGATAAGTCCGGACCGGAAGTGACGTCATCAAAACAAAAAAAACGCATAAGGTTCAAGTAATGTAACATAAGTCCTGAAAGTTTCATGGAAATCCATCAAGCCGTTTTCGAGAAATCGCGTGCACAAAATCGGTAAGAAAAAAAAACAATAATAATAATAAAAGTGAAAAAGAAACCTAAGAATAACAAGAAGGTCTTCCGCTGAAGACGGAAGACCTTAATAAGAAACAGAGTAAAAACAATATGTTCCCCAACTTCGTTTGGGGAACATAATTAGTAAAGTTGACGATGGAAAAGCTGAAGGCATCTAGTTTGGCATACAATTATGTTTTTAATAAGGTTTTTATCGCTTATACATGTATTGCATATGGTCAGAAATAATCCAAAGTAATTTCGATAGATCTTGGAAATATATTTTAAAAACAATTATAGATTTCGTTAATTTTCATAAAAATATAAATTTTTGCCGATTTGAATTTTATTTTTTACAGTTGTATCTTGACCTACTTGTTTTTAAACTAAACAAGAAGTCAAAGGGCCAAATCGCTCACCTAAACACCATGGCTAGGAACAAGCAACAATCAATACAGTAAATGCTTAAGTTGTCTTAACCCTAAAAGGGTTTTTTTTTAACAAATTTAAATCTACCTAAACTTGAATCTGCACTAAAGACGATTACCCATTTTTTTTTTTACTCTAACTGCTTTTCCCCTATAAGTTTGAACGTTAATTGTGGTCCCAGCCTACCCTCCATATCCCCCTTGGAGTCATAATTTTTACAAATATGAATCTACAATATACATGATAATGCTTCCATAAAAACATAACCAATCATGAATTTTCTGTTCATGATGAGTTTTTTGAGATGATCTTTCCTAACGATGACTTTTCTAATCTCATAAAAATGATTTTAATGATATCTTCCTATTCATTCCTTTGTAAGACTTTGATCCCCCATTGTGGCCCCACATTACCCCCGGGGGATCATGATTAATACAATCTTGAATTTACACTCCCTGAGGATGCTTCTATATAAATATGACCAATCATGACTTTTCTGTTTCTCATTTAAAGATGATTTTTAAAAAGTTTCCCTATACACACCTATGTTAAAAACTTGGACTGTCCATCGTGTCCTCACCCTTCCCCCGGGGGTCATGACTAAATAATCTTGAATCTACTCTACCTAAAGATACTCTTATATAAATATAACTAATCATGAATTTGTTATTATAAAGAAGATGTTTCAAGATTTTTCCAATATATTTCTATGCAAAACTTTGATGGTATAAACTTGAATCTAATATATCTAAAGATATTTTCATATAAGTTTCATAGTTTCTGGTCCAGTACAGTGTTTCTTGAGCAGAGGAAATTTAAAGCAATATGAGCTGCTCCTTGGAAGTCGGAATTTTTGGTTGCAAAATTGTAAATAACTATTTTAATGAAAGAAATAATAACTTTTAATCATTACACTTACACTGCTGTTCCTATCTGCGATGCAATAATTATTTATAAGCTTCGATCCAATCAAATTTACACTATTGTCGTCCTGTGCAAGGATTTCTTATTTAAAAACTGTGTATTGGATTGTATACAAAAGTATTTCTTCTGCTTTATTTGGTCTAATTGATCATAAAGGTTTAAGTTACATACAAATTTATCATAATAACACATTTTAACAGCAAAATATTTTTTTTTAAATGCAGCCCATATTGCTTTAAATATTTTTCCTATATATGTTCCTATGTAAAACTTTGATCGTTAATTATGACCCGGCCCTACCCCTGGGGGTCATGATTTGAACAAAGTTGAGTCTACACTTTCTGAGGATGTTTCCACATAAGTTTCAAATTCTTAGTCCAGTGGTTTTTGGGAAGATTTTGAAAGATTTTTCCTTTATATTACTATGTAAAACTTTGATATAAATTTTGGCCCCGCCCTACCCCGGGTTCATAATTTGAGCAAACTCGAATCCAATTTTACTGACGATGTTTTCACATAAGTTTCATCTTTCCTGGCCCAGTAGTTCTTGAGAAGTAGATTTTAAAAGATTGTTCCAATATATTCCTATCTTAAACTTTAATCGTCAATTATGGCCATGTCCTACCCCGTGAGGGGAGGGGTGGGTGTCATGATTTGAACAAACTTGAATCTTATATACCTAAAGATGTTTTCATATAAGTTTCATCTTTCCTGGCCCAGTGAGTCCCCCTCGTGGCGCAGTGGTTAGAGTGTCTGCTCTACAGTCGCGAAGTAAGGAGTTAATCCTTACGTCGCGGGCTCGAATCCCACTGTGGGACGTAGAGAATCTAAAGATGATGAAGAGGATGATAATTATAATGTTAATCTCGATAATAACTCTCCTTTAAATTATCAGATCTCTGCAGAAGAAATTTTGCAAGCAGTGAACAAACTAAAAAATAATAAAGCTCCAGGATATGATCAAATCTGTAACGAATTTATAAGAACAACCATATCAAGTTTTTTGCCACTTTATGTTGATATTTTCAATGTGATTTTTGATACTGGTTATGTACCTGAAGAATGGCTCATAGGTATCGTTAAGCCAATATATAAAAACAAGGGTGACCCAACTCTTCCTGAAAACTATAGACCAATAACATTGCTTAGCTGTTTAGGAAAAGTTTTTACCAGCATTTTATGTGAGCGTTTGAATACTTTTGCTGATGAATTCGAACTGATTACTGAAGCTCAAACTGGCTTTAGAAAAGGATATGGTACAATAGATAATATATTGATATTAGATTTTTTTTTTTGTAAATTTGTCTTGTTTAGTAAGAAAAAAAACTTTATTGTGCATTTATTGATTTTAAGCAAGCCTTTGATACGGTATGGCGATCTGGTTTGTGGTCAAAAGTGTTAAAAAGTGGGATAGATGGTAAATGTCTAAGATTTATCAAAAATATGTATAGTGGTATAAAATCGATGATATGTATTGACCAAAATACCTCAGAGTTTTTCATGTGTAATCTTGGGGTAAGGCAGGGGGAAAATTTATCCCCATTTCTTTTTAATTTGTATATTAATGATTTAGAAAATTATTTACTGCAGAATAATATTGATGGGATTAAGAGCTTAAGTGAGAAAATAGAAAATGAAATGCAGATTATGTTTAAATTATTTATACTTTTCTATGCTGACGACACAGTTTTACTATCTGATAACCCTGAGGACTTACAAAGAGCGTTGAATATTTTTTCTGATTATTGTGACCACTGGAAACTTCAAGTAAATACAGACAAGACTAAGATAGTAATTTTTTCTAGGGGAAGGATCCCCAAAAAGATATTTTTGTACAGAGAAGCACCAATTGAAATTGTGAACGAATTTAGATACTTAGGTGTTATCATGTCCCGTAGTGGTTTTTTCAAAAGTGCCAAAACACATTTAACTAAACAAGCTTCAAAAGCAATGTATGGAGTACTTAGAAAGATAAGGTATTTTAACTTGCCAGTAGATTGTCAAATAGATCTTTTTGACAAAGTTATAAGCCCGATTTTGTTGTACGGGTGTGAAGTTTGGGGCTACGAAAACATAGATATTTTAGAAAAGGTACACTTGAAATTTTTGAAATTTGTTTTGCATGTTAAGTCCAGTACCCCAAATTGTATGGTGTATGGGGAAACTGGGCGATATCCTTTAATAATATGTATAAAGGTACGAATGATTACTTACTGGGCTAAACTTTTGATGTCACATGAGAGTAAGCTGACATACATAATGTATTGCTTTCTTTATAAACAATTTTCTGACGGATCATTTAAGCACCCATGGTTGAAATGTATAAGGGATATCTTGAATTCCTGTGGCCTGTCTTATGTGTGGATAAATCAAAACTTCATTAGTGTTACATGGTTAAAATCTATTGTGAAAGAAACGTTGTTAAATCAATTTTTACAAGACTGGCATATGAACATAGAAAATTCACCTAAATGTTTAAATTACAGGATTTTCAAAAACAATTTTGGACGAGACATTTACTTAAGTAAACTCCCAAAAGACTTAAGAATTGTATTAACAAAATTTAGAACTTGTAATCACAAACTCCCAGTAGAATCAGGTAGATGGACTAATACTGATAGATCTTTAAGATTATGTAATCTATGTAACAAAAATACTTTGGGGGATGAATTTCACTATATAATGGAGTGTCCATATTTTTTGTCTTAACGGGTAAAACTTATTGATAAGAAGTATTGTCTTCATGTAAATACTTATAAATTTGAGAAAATTATGTCCATCACAAATGTTGATGCACTGTTTAAACTGTCTTTATTAGCTAAAAAGATATTGGCCTGCTTTTAGTAACTATTTAATTGATACTACTCTTCCTCGCTTGACTTTGTATTTTGTATATAATTATGTAAATATGTTCTTGTACCTCATATACCATTGTATGGTCTGAGTGTAAATAAACAAACAAACAAGACCGGTCCTTCGGATGAGACTGTATAAACCTAGGTCCCGTGTCGCAGTAGATGCTGGTACGAAAAAATCCCTCCCTGCTCAATGGCCCTGAGTGCCGAGTATAGGAAAAAATTTGCAGCTCTCCACCTGCAAGTGGTGGCGTTTCCATATGAGTGAAAAATTCTCAAGAGGGACGTTAAACAATATACAATCAATCAATTAATCCTGGCCCAGTGTTCTTGAGAAGAGGATGTTTAAAGCAAAATAACCTGCAACTTGGAAATCGGAATTTTTTGTTGCAAAATTGTAAATAATTATTTTAATGAAAGAAAAAATAACTTTTAATTACTAAACTTAAACTACTCTTCATATTTGCGATGGAATAACCATTTATAAGTCTCGATTTAATCAAAATTACATTATTGTCACCCTGTACAAGAATGATTTCTTATTCAAAACTGTGTATTGGATTGTATACAAAAGTATTTCTTCTGCTTTATTTGGTCCAATTGATCATAAAGGTTTAAGTTACAACATACAAATTTATCATAATAACACATTTTAAAAACAGCAAAATATTTTTTAAAATGCAGCCCATATTGTTTTAAATATTTTTCCTATATATATGTTCCTACATGTATGTAAAACGAAAACTGTTTAATATTTTAATACTGTTGAGTTAGTATCTTCCCAACCAAATGCTAATTTATGATATCAAAAAGGTGGAAATGTAAAACATAATATACATGTAGCACAAATGACAAAGAAACGTGATGAATACACTGTGCTCTATGATCAAACATTTTATATAATATCATTATGATTAATGAAAAAATAAAGTACAAATGTTGGTTCATTTCGTTATTATAGATAAACCCTCTGACTTGAAAAAAATTCAATTGTCCCTTTTCATGTCGTCGACGTCAATTATTTTGCGTTATCGTGTTATCTTTTTAAAGGGCAAAACCTGTGCGTTTATTTTATAAAATGTATGGAGATAACGGATAGTATTCAAGTAGCTCTCATGATCTCACTACATACAAAGTACAAGTATCAATCAAAGATAAGTAAACATGATAATTGAATTTATTTTAAAAATAAGTATTGAATTGTCACAGTTCTTAAGAATTGTATAGAAGATGGGAAATTCTGTGTTTATTTTATTAGTTATCCTTCATGCTGGGAAATGCTTTCTAGTCCCTCCATCCAAAAATAGTACTAATGATGGATCCTTCCCCCATTCTTACTCGTCGGAAAATTCAGGGACCTCACTGGATACCAACATCCTCCATGATATTCTTTCACAGGAAACTGCACTAAGAATTCGCCTGCAGAAAGACGTAGAGACAATGATGAATGAATTTGCTACATTTAAAGCATCTATGACAAACGAAATAAATTCTTTGAAACAAGATATTGCAGAACTGAAGACTGAAAACTATGAACTTCGCCAGAATTATACTGCTTTGAAATCTTTTTGTAGTCATGAATGCCAAAACAATGTCTCTTTTTCTACAGTGCATATGGATGATTTTAACGCAATAAGCAACCTAAAGAAACAAGTGAGATATTTGTCACTTTCTCTTTTGGACCTACAAAAACAATCCGGTGTATTAAATGAAACTTTACAAGATAACTTTAGGAATGTGTCAGGAAATATGAATTCGGGTTTGAAAGACGCAATGATAGATATCCTAAATGTAAAAGAGGAACAGAACAAAATTAAAATCTCACTTGCGAGTATGGACAAAACACATATACAAATGACTTCATCATTAAAAGGTTTGTTATTCCATTAAAGTTGTTTGTTTTAGAGCAATCTTTTTTGCACTCAATCATATTACAATTCTTTGTTACTGTCGGAAGGTTAAATCAGAAATCACTCATGGCGATGGAATCATATAAAAAAGACACAATTTTATGCTTTTCTCATTGGAAATCACCTATTAAATTAAAGATTTCTTAATTAAGTAGACGGAAATGTAAACAGTAAGTGATCAATTCACACCAACAATGCATGTGTCACAGATTATCTGTTTCAAATTATGCTTAAACGCTTTATGTAATTGTTGGCTGCAATATAACAAAAAACAATCAAGGTTTATACTTTCTTTGAAACACATAGCTACAATAAGCCTTTGAAAAAAAAATAAAAAGAGTGCACCTCTATCAATGGACTCGGGGTTGTGAGGATACTACCTGACAGTTATATAGGAACACATGTATCAGTGTATAATATTATTATATAATATTTACATAGTATCACATTGAAGTTACCTTCCAGACAGAATATATAAGATGTAGCAAATCTGTTTTAGATGATTTGAATGTGACATTAAGTGATCTGAAGACTAGCCTCGGTAGAACAGAACGTCAACAGGTTGATCTGGTGAAATCTTTATCAGCACTTGAATGGAACATGTCATCCCTTGTCCAGTCAGGTATTTCCTTTACGATATAATTACATGTAGTTTATGTTTTTGGTGATTACTGCTGCGCTGGAGGTTTTAGATATTATAGAAAATATACATGTACACTGTAGATGCAAATCGTTGATATTATACAGAAAACATATTTCATTTACTTACATAAACTCTCATCTGTGTGCCCAGTCAAGAACTTATTTATCTAATATTGTTATCCACAAAAAGGACTTTTCAAAAGATTTTTTACTATGTTTTACGAATTCTTTACTTCAGAAACACTCAAAATTGGATTTACAGCTTCAATGACTACATCCGACACGAGTACAACGTCTGGACGACGATTGGTCTTCCCGCACATTATACTTAATGAAGGAAACGGTTACAATTCTAACGATGGTGTCTTTACAGCCCCTGTGAATGGAATTTACCTGTTCTATTCGTCTCTCACTTCTTACTCTACTGATTACTGTTCATGTTACATTGTTCGTAATGGCAGTATTAAAGTCAGGTTATACACAGGTGCAGCTCATGATCAATCGGTTTCAAATATGGTTTTGCTCTTACTTCAAAAGAATGACAGGATTTGGTTGAAAATGGCAGCCGGGACACGGATTTATTCAAACGAAAACTCTCCTTCAACATTTTCAGGATACTTAATAAATGTGGCATAACAGAAAATGGAGCAATGAAAATTTTATGTAAATATGATAAACCTGCACGGTTTCTTATAGAAGTGTGACAGACTTCCTGTATATTTAAATTTGATTGGGAAGGCAATCATTCCAATTTATAACTCAGAATGTTATACAAATGTAACACAATTGGACCATACCGTACATATGAATGAATTACATATTAACTTTTTAATATATGTTGTGTTTCTTATATTTGATTAATTAGGACATATGTGTATAAGGCATAATAATCCTTACATGTCCTTGAGAGCCATTTAGTTCTTACGCACTTTATTTCTATTTACTAATTATGTGTTGAATGTAGTCAATATTGTTGTAAATATAAATGTGAATTATTATTGGTCAGTGTTGATGAATTATCACAATTAAATCAAAGATCAATATCTGAACATTTACGTGGTCAGTATCCATTATTGGTATTTAATAATTAATTGAATTGGAAATGGCTTAATAATATTAACTGACCACAATCAATATTTTAATTGGACACTTGATTACTATCTACGATTAAATCGAACGGAACAATTCCATTAGTGACTTACAAACTATTCCAATAATTAATATCAGGATGATTTGAAATTTGAAGATATATTCCAAGATTGGACAGGCGGAGGACAGAACAAGAACTTTATACAAACGTTTCACACGTACCACTATACGAACTTTGTGCCCCCCTGTACTAGTTACTAGTTTGGCTTCCAGTGGATATTCAAAATACTATCTCTGATATTTCAACTGTACCAGTGCTGACAACATTGTTCTAACTGTATATGCATGAACGTTTATATTGTGCAACAGTGACATAATAAATATATTATATAACCAAAAAAAAAGCATTGTGTTATACAAAGAATGAAAGAGTATATATTATATGTCTATGTTTTGTTATGAGAAACCTTGAAGATGCGTCTGTTACAACGCACTTTGAAAAATTACGCACTTTGAAAAAAAAATTTCAAAGTGTGTTAAATTTTGGGACCAAGTCAACGCACTTTGAAAAAATAAAATTTCTTTTCAAAGTATGTTAATATGGACCATATAAACGCACTTTGAAAATGGATTTGTCAATATTCCTGCAAATCTTAGGTATGATAAATAATTGAACCTGTTTGATAATTCTTCTGTGAAGATGTCACTCCAGGATGTGAAAGTGAGCGATTTTGATTTTTCCATACTTTGAAAATTCTTTCTCGCTTAAATGCTTTACTGTACTTCATTTTTTTCAAGTTTGCATGTATTTTATGTAAACTTAAATTTATTGAAAGTTTTCAACGTCATACCAGTTATGTAAACACATATATTTGGGTGTAGCATAGGCATCAGTACCGGAAAGGGGGATTGCATGTAGGCATATAAATATTTTGCAAAGATATACATAATATATACATGTATGCATTAAAAATTGGGGCTTACCTGTAAGGTCAACTTTCAATTTGCTACCGACGGCTATGTACAATGTTTAAGAAAAAAAGAGTTATGATGAGAGACCTTCTACTCGTCTTCTCCTTATTCTAAATGAGGTTAAATGAGTTCATGTAAATTTTAAAAAGTTTTTCGAAAGATATAATTATTACAATTTGATTTCCTCTATTAATAAAATCTAAGTCTAGAATTTTTATTTTCATACATATCTTTTTTTCAAAGTGCGTTAAATGCCTCCATGGTAAAAAATGTTAATGTGCATTCTTAACACACTTTGAAAAAATTTTTCAAAGTGCGTTGCATGTGTCCAAAATTTAACGCACTTTGAAAGATTTTACGCACTTTGAAAAATGTGTTCAAAGTGTGTAATTTCTTCAAAGTGCGTTGCCACATGCGTCTGATATAAACGTTAAAAGAGAGGTGTAGTATGGCACTACATGATAAAGTTTTCTTTCAGAATGTCTCAAGAAATTTCATCAAGTGATATGCTATGAGTTTCGGATAAGTAATTGTTTTTCTCTAAACTGTGAACACCGCATCACTGTGTATCCAGAGGAACTTTAAGCACTGGTTAAGAAGAGTAATATACAATCGTTCCGATAAAGGTATGATGGCAAACTGCATTTCTTGACAAGATAATTAAATGAGATTATGTGAAAGATCCTTTTGGGGTTGACGGGTTTTTGCATAAAGAAAATAGTTTAAACTTTGAACCATGCATAGGTCTTACGGGCAAATCTTCACAAGAATACAAAATAAGTTACGTAGGTGTTGTCTGAGCGTCAACTTACGATCATTTTGTTTTTTGTTTGAACATTGTAAATAACTTATTATTTGTAACTAATTAGAAAATCCAGAACACTTCCATATACATGTTTATTTTAATATTTACATTCAGTGTAATTTTTGTTATAAAATCCATTAGAAATCAACGACGTTCAAATTTCTATAACACACGCAAAACCTTGTCACAGTGCGGTAGAATACACAGTAGGAACTACATGCATTTTCAATATTTAGGAATACCTAAATGTATATTGCTTTGACTCAATTTCATTTTTTCTTAAAAACTACCCTTTTAAATTAACATAAAGTACAGCAAATGTGCACAAAAACTAATGTGTCATTTTATTTTCTTGCAATGTTTACTTGCGTTATTACCACATCCAATTATTTTCGAATTGGAGGCTTTTATCGAAGAAAGTGTTCATTTCCCATATATAATGCAAGCTTTAGATCCGCCTATAATCCCTACAATCAATTAGAGTTATTCCCCCTGAGTCAACTTCCGTAAATTCCTTTTCAATCAAAGAATCAATGAATTTTAAAGGACAAAAAGGAAAGGAAGTTGGACTTTTTACCATATTTCTATCAGGAACTTCAAGCCGTGGTATTCATTCCTATGTTAAAGCAACTCCATTATGTACATGGATTTACGTATGGGTTTGTCGTGACATCTTTGGGATAGGAGGGGTCATAATAAATGGGATATGCAAAACAGGTCTGGACGATTTCTAAATATGGAAGTCAAGAACGATAACCGAAAGTTGCTATAAACGGACATCAAGTAAACGTAATAATTATTTTTCTGACCAATCAGACAACAGCATTTTTACACACCCCAAAACATTTTTTAAAAGAACAAAAAGATAACACATGCTTTTGTTTTTTTCCTCAAAAAGATTTTTCAACAAAAATCTGTAGAAGTAAGATGAAAACTTTTGGAGAATAAGGTATTCCCCACATATTTGCCGTGAACAACCTTGATATTTTTATCTCGGTAAAGAAAAAATAATGTATGATGGAATGTAATCGTTTAACTAGTACAGACGTATAGATCGCACCAGCAGGTTCCTATCAAGTTCAATTATAACACTTATACCAGAATATATGTTGGTAAATATTACTTTGCTTATCCGTCCGATTTTCATCGATAATGCTTAACTCCATGTGCAGATCAACTCACACAAGTGTTTATCGTATGAATTATATACATGTACACATGTAGTTTTAAATCATCACGGGTTTCATGAGCGCCGAATACTAAGCTATGCAGACTTTAAATGGGTATAAGGAAAGGCTTATAAAGTGGAGAAAAAAAGAATCCTGAAATTACACATAAATGCGTTTTATCCCAATAATTTACCTCGCATATCACAAACTGCACGGACTATTTTGTAAAATATATATATATATATATAGAGAGAGAGAGAGAGAGAGAGAGAGAGAGAGAGAGAGAGAAAGCACAGAGAATTTCACTTTTACAAGGATACTCACTTCCGCCCCAGCCCGGGGTTAAACTCTCGACCTACGGAATCTGTCTCCTAGCAGTGCAGGAACAGCGTGTTAGACCGCTCGGCTATCTAGGCAAGTTAAAAAAAATTGCTTTCGATGCCGATGGAATTCTCACAACGCTGTCCTACACTACACGGTCATTGAGAATGGAAGTGAGATACAGTTATTTGGACATTAGTTTTTAGAGGATTGTTACCAATACATGTTGTTATGAATTTAATTTTATTTATAAAGCACAAATTACAACAACTCTTAAACTAATATAACTGCCCTAAGTGAAGAAATATTAATATAGAAAGCACAGAAAATTTCACTTTTACAAGGATACTCACTTCCGCCCCATCGAAAGCAAGTTTTTTAACTTGCCTAGATAGCCGAACGGTCTAACGCGCTGTTCCTGCACTGCTAGGAGACAGATTCCGTAGGTCGAGAGTTCAACCCCGGGCTGGGGCGGAAGTGAGTATCCTTGTAAAAGTGAAATTCTCTGTGCTTTCTATATTAATATTTCTTCACAGCGTTGTGAGAATTCCATCAGCATCGAAAGCAAGTTTTTTAACTTGCCTTGATAGCCGAGCGGTCTAAAGCGCTGTTGACAAACTTAGAATGGAGAATGAAACTTTGAGAGAAAAAGTGTGTGAAGCAAATAAAAACACAAGAAATCTGGAAAAGGAACTGAATGAGGTGAGGGATTTAGCGCAGTTTGCCACAGTAAAGTCAAATTACAATGAACAGTATAGAAGGCATTACATCTGCTTGGTATTTTAACGGATCTGTATACGCAAAAGTGAAGGACAAACGTGTGAAATTCGACATCCTTGACGATATTGACCATAAGGTAAAGAATATTAAAAAAAGCCGGGATTAAAAACTCTTACCATATTCTCTCCGCCATTAGCTAGCAGAATGCGTTTCCGGTCATAACTTGCGTTACAAATAAAATCCCAAACTGTGACTCACAACACACCTATCACGGTAGTCAGCTTGGTTAACATTTGAACTTTTTTTAAATGCAATAAGTTAATTTTTCTGTTATTGTTATATTGTAGCTCTTACTTTCCTCTTTCTTCCTCTCTTTCTTTCATCATGAGTTCCGACTGTTCGTGTCCATTGGTCCGGTGGGTATCAACTTGTAAACGTTTTTCAAATGGTTAAGATTATTTCAGTAAACTGTCAAGGTTTAGGTGATATTGCAAAGCGCAAGGATGTTTTTAATTACTTAAGAGCCTTAAATTATAACATTTACTGTTTGCAAGATACACATTTTTCGTGTGATATTGAAAACGAAGTAAGAAATTTATGGGGTTACCAATGCTTTTTCAGCTCATACTCTACAAACTCTAGGGGAGTGGCAATTCTAGTTA